TAATATTAATTTTTATTTTTTAAATATATTTATGGAAAAACACACTCTTATCTTAACTTATGTTCTTAGTGGACAGAGTAAAAAAATCCATAATTAAATTATAAATACTATGATATACTCTCTTTTCCATTTCCACCCATTTTCAAGCTTCGAGAGTACTACTCCTTCAAAAAGTAGAAGAAAAAGCTTCAACACTCTGCAGTTTCAGCTTCAATCTGTGAGTTCTCAATCTCTTTCTCTTCCACAGGCTATTTTTCTTGCTTTGATTACTTTGAATTTCTTAGTTTTCATCATATGCGATGGTGGGTATGCCTCAAATTTCTTTCTTTCTTTCTTTCTTTTTTCTGGTTCGTGTACCTTGAATTTTTACTAGTTTTTATCTTTTGTAATGGGTTTTTGGAGACTATTTTGTTGTTGATTAAGTTTCTGATTCTGCTGGTTTCTGTTTGCAGGGTTTGGAAAACAAAAATATGAGCAAGAGGGTTTTGTTCTTACTTCTTTGTTTGAATGTGGTCTCTTATCTGGTGGTACAAAAATCATCTTTTCATTTTTATTAATTTTTATTTCATTTCTTCATTTGAGTAATAATATACTATATACTTGCATGTTTTTCTCCTTTTTTTTATTTATTGGAATTTCTCCTGGATGCAGATTGCTGAACCACAAACATGTCCTGCTGATCTTGGTAGAAAATGTACTGATGATTCAGGTGAATGGGAAGGGGAATTTTTCCCTGGAATTCCCAAGATTAAGTATGAGGTACTGTGCTTATGTTATTAAATCCTATAAACATTAATGTAAATGTCATAGTACACCTTCCATTTAATTATTTATTGTGTTGATGTTATTATCATATTTTGTAGCTAACTGTGCTTGGTTGTGATTTGATTGCAGGGTCCTCCTAGCAAGAACCCGCTTGCTTACAAATGGTATAATGCCGAAGAAGTTATACTTGGGAAGAAAATGAAGGTTGGTTTCTGTTCTTTAACTAATGTGAAGTTTGAAATTAGCTTGTTGGTGATGATTGATAGTAACTGACTATATATCTCAATGGCGTAGGATTGGCTGAGATTCAGTGTTGCTTTTTGGCACACATTCCGTGGGACAGGTGTTGATCCCTTTGGTGCTCCAACAAAGTATTGGCCATGGGAAGATGGTACTAATTCCTTGGCTATGGCCAAAAGGAGAAGTAAGATACATATTTGTTCCCCAACTTTCTCTGATTAATGGTAATTTCATAAGATGAATGAATTAATATGTATTTGCCCTTTTATACAAAATACAGTGAGAGCCAATTTTGAGTTCATAAACAAGCTTGGAGTTGATAGGTGGTGTTTCCACGACAGGGATATAGCTCCTGATGGCAAAACCTTGGAGGTAGTAAAATTTAATATCTAGACTAGTAGATGTTAAAAGCAGTAAAGAAATTGGATTTCTTTTTCATTTT